AACCGTGCAGCCGCTATTCCGCTAAAAGCAGCCGAGCTGCTCGTCCACCGTAACCCGTAATTTGCTCCTTGCAAATCCAGTGCTTAAAGCTTGGAACTACGGGAAAGGCAGAGGTTTGGTTATATCAGAAGCAAAAAAAGTATGTGCCTGTGGAAAACAGCCAAATGATGACCAACGTAAGTTGCGTGAAGAACCAAAGGGAAAAAAAAAAGAAAACAACAAAAACCAACCCCCAAACGAAAAAGCAGCAAGATGAACCGGTTTTGCACAGTTAAGAACAGTACAATACAGGAAAAGTAGCCAGGTTTCCTTCCCCCCAAGAGTTTCTTTTAAATAAAGAATGATCCTTTGTCACATATCATTGATGTTTATTTCAAGACATGCCACGTCAAAAAAACTCGCCTTTAATATTGCATTATAAAAGCACTTTACATCTCATTCTGCCTTTAAGTTATTGTTGTGCAGAGTTGCTATAAACCCAGGGCAGGGCACGAGTCTAGCATTCATTTCAGGAATGAAGAATTCCAAATCTTTTATGCCCGTTTCCTGGTGGTAGTGGTGGTGAGGACGATTCCCTTTCTCTTCCCCGGTCGGTTATTTTAGAGGGGCGGAAGAGAACAAAGGAGGAGCCTGAATATTTGCTTGCAATTGTTCATTTAAGTAGCAATCGCAACACAGACTCAAGAATTCCTTCCTGCACTGTAACTCAGCCATATTCGCCCAGCAAACAATGTATTTACAATTGTGTTTATTAACTTACACAGCAACTTCACAATGACTAGTAAAGATTAAAAGGGTGCACTTCTAGTGTGTTCGATTCCGTGTTTCTCGGGTAGCTACATCTCGCAACATCAGCAAAGCTCTAAACAGATTCCTCAGCAAAACGAAAACAAAAAAATAATTACTGAAAATAGTAAAAAATTAAGCAAAGAAATAAATATCAAAGAAAATCGGTTAATTGTAAGCCTAGTTAAATAGAAAACTAAATTACTAGTTATTTAACCAAACTATACAGCTCTAGCGAACCAAACTAAACCAACTTGGAAGACTGAACATAAAAAAATGCTAAAAAATAAAGGCATAAATCTGCATAATCGTAAGTTGGTTTCCATTCTATTAAACTCCCTTCCTTTCCATCTAAGACCTCTCAACTAGATTTCTGTATGATCAAAGTAAACACCCCTTCCCCAGTCGACCTACGACCACGCTATGGAAAAGCGGGTGCGATTCCCCCTTCCGCCGCCCCCTCTCTCCCAGCCGTGAACTGGCCTGTGAGCACAGCATCTCCACTGGGGAATCCAGCTGCTCTTTCCTCTTTCTGCCAAATTTAAAAGGTTCCGATCCGCTTCGGCAGGTTTTAGTGCCAGTCCTGAATTCACTTAAAGATTTCCCCTATAAAAAGAAGCAAAACGCTTTCTCCTCCAAACAGCTGAAACGTTACGTTCCCATCTCTCGGGCAGTAATAATTTACTTCAATGGTGTTCTACATAAAAGGAAAAAAATTGCTCTTAAAACTCATTTGCACTCAAAACGTATTTCCCTGTTTCCTGCAAGTGTTTTGCTAATGCACATCCACCCTTTCCTTCCCCCCCCCTCCCCCCCAAATCCTCCAGAAGCCATTCATCCCGTTCAGAAAGACACTTTGTGTTTCTCAGTATGCTTTCTTGGAAATGTGTTCACGTTGCCTCTGCAAGAACTAAAAAATCCAGTAGCCTTTCGTGGTGTCGAAACCCCTGCTAAAGGTTGGTTTCCAAAAACGTTTGGGGGTTTGAAAACCAGTCAGACTATCTCTGCTCAAAAGATTAAGAGCTTGGTTTTATTTTTTCTTTTTATTATTGTCAGGATAAGCATTTAACCCTCAGCATTTGCCACCTCCGCTTGCGTTTCTGACTGCTGTCTAGTCATTTCCAGTTTGTTAGAGAAATCAAATGGGTAAGATTCGCAAGCATTCTTCTGCACGTACATCTCGTCTAAGTCCAATTCAAAACTTACTCGGTTTCCATCATTTCAAAGTGCAATATCATAACATATTAAAAAAGGAACAAATATTAAGAAATTGTACCTATTTTTTTTTGTTTTAAAGTTATAACTAGAATATGCTGGAATATTTTGGCTTTTTTTTTTTCTTATAAATAATGAAGACACTGACATTTTCTTTGTGTGTGTGTGTGCTTGTGAAGCTAATAGATCATCTCCACGAGACAGCCAGCGATGATGAACTGCAATACGTTATTACTGAAAGGGGAAGGTTCAAGCCGATATTCACACTGCAGTCAATGAAGAGTAAAGGGAGGGAAAGCCGTGATGTTCTGGAGAAAGGTAGAAGCCACATGGTATTAGCAGGAACAGCCTCCTTCACTGACAGGCTGCTCTTGAGGCTTTTCCAGTTTTATGTCAATCACTGGAAGAAATAAGTTAAGGCGAACAAACATCCAGCGCTCTTTC